GACGTGTATTCTAACATTTATAAATACACAAAAATGATATGTATTGTGAATAAAGCTAAATTTTGATCAAACATAAATATATTTTATCTTTGTTATTTTTCATTTCTTCCATCTATTAAAAATAATCATGAATTTTTGTTTTAAATATTTTAATACCGTTTTTGACTCGGATAAAAAAATCTAATATTATTGAAAAGAAAATAAGATATTTTCAAATATTTTCTATATTTCTTAAATAAAATTCTCTATATTAATTACCATATATTTGTTATTAAATTTTTTTAATAATTTTTACTAATTTTTATTAGGAAATGAATTCCTTAAACCCTCTTAGGATGACACCTAGGATTTTCACCCAGTGTCTCCTCTGTTAATATATAGAGAATATAAAATGTTTTGGATTCAGAGAAACCCTTTGTTTTCTTCCTTGGGTTCGAAAGGCTTGAGACTGCTAGTACATATTGGATTCACAAGTAAACATGATCAAGTAAGCTTATGCTTTTGCCCAAGAACACACAAGAGGCTTTGTTTTGTCTATTGTATATAAACCATTTATGAATGTTTTTTTGTCAAGCATAGGTTGTGTTTTTGCTGAGATACTTAAGTATTGTGATTCAAGGCCTGCGTTTAGCTCTTGTTCCTCACTGGCCATAGTTGCTTACATTATTTAGATTTAGGGACCTGCTCAGCTCCTATGCTTGAGATGGAGAAGTCAAATTTGTTTGTGGAGGAACGGAATGGGGAACCAGAAGGTACTCTCAATGATACTACTTCCATGGATGTTCCTCCTGCTTCTGCACTTCAATTAGCTTCTGAGGTGAGCCGAAGCTTACTCTGACTCTCGCGCCTGCAACTGGTGAAACGTTTTTGCCTTTACCTTCCATGGAGGATCTTCAAAGAGCAAAATGGAGGACAGATGCCTCAAGTCATACAAAATTGTATACCTTGGTTTCTCTATCCTTGGCTTCATGGAGGACATGTGTAGCTGTTACATAGACCGGGCAAAGAACTCAACCAATCAATCACTTGAAACCGAAACAGTTTCTGATATGAGTAAGGCGGGTGATGAGAGCGGCGCAGCTGACATTTCCATGGGGCTGCAGAGGGCGGGAGAGCAATTAGCAACATGAATGACATCACGGTTGGTGAAGAAAACATTGAGATTCCATGGGTGAATGAGATCAACGACGATGTTCCTTCACATTTCCGTTACATACCTCAGAACTTTGTGTTTCACGATGCTGCTGTGAAATTCTCCGTCTCTTCTTCTCTCGAAGATTTCTTGGTATAGTAGATGGCGTATTGAAGGAGGATTTCTTGGAAATGCGGATCTCTGAGACCCGCGATCAACGGAAACAGGTGCTGCAGTTCTGTAAAAAAGAAGAGATTTTGGAACCATGTAAAGGGCAGCTTAAGAGGAAAGCCATTAAAAGAGCGTTGCATGAAATGTGGATGCCCTAAGAGATGATGTAATCGAGTGGTCCAAAGAGGAATACACAAGAAATTACAGGTAAAACATTTACCCTAACCAACTCATTTTTTCGGGGTTTTCATTCATCTTATTCTAGAAAGTTGAAATCAACTAGTTTCGAATTTTTTTTTATCGATCTTTTGTTTTTATTTCAGGAGTTTTTCACGCCAAATGGGAAAGGTTGGACATTGGAGAGATTGCCTAAAGGGGCATTTGTTTGTGAGTGCACTGGAGAGATATTGACGATTTGTGATGTAAAACCTGTTAGAATCCGATTAATAAAGAGATGATTCAAGCTTTATTCATCGATTCTTCCCAAGCGTTTTACAAACACAGGAAATATTATAGGAGTTCCCTCTCTCCTCTCTCAACAACTTGATCTCACCAAAAAGATGCCTCACAAAATGCCACAAACTCTCTGCTAAATACTCCCACTCTCTACTCACGCTTTTCTTCCCCCGTGACGTGTCCTTCATGACTCCTCTTCTAGAACCAGCCGTCTTCTCTTGATCGGAGGAAGATCCTTAGTGGGCCTGGTGGGCCCGGCC